CCATCTCATGCAGGGCATGGGGTTAGAGTTGAATAGTGGAAACCTCAATAATTGTTTTCATTATTATTATTGTTTTTGGCTGAATTCGTCTTGAAGACCAGAAGAGAATGAAACTTTCGGAACTGTAGATGGCCCTTTATGCCTCCTTATGGTCCATGATTAGCCCTCTAGCTTTTGACTATCTATATAAGCCATACTTTGTGTGGTCCTAATTACGTGAACTTTATGGGTTTGGTCATATGGCTCTTACGTAGCTGTTATGCACAAAAACCGAAAGAATGTCATAAAACAACAGTACTGAGCACCGTACATTAATAAAAAATAAATTTCACAGCATAAAGTATACAGTAATAGGATTTATTTAGTTCGTTGATTCAAATTAAGATGTGACTTTATGTGAGAATTTTTTATTTTAATAAAAAAGTGAGATATGATTATTTTTTAGAGTTTTTTACTGTAACAAAATTCAAATTTTAAACTCAAATTGGTAAAATAAACGGAACTATAATCCATTTTTTTAATTATGATCGTTCTAAATATTTTTCCAAAAACCGTGTGTTATAGCGATTATTTGAAAATTGGTGATCATCAACCAAGTAGGGTAACATCACAGTACTGGCTCACATATGTACGTTGTTACTGGATAATGATCTTTCATGAAGACGGGTCAGACTTGGATATGGTGGCATAGTTTTGTGGCAAGGAATATTTATAATAAATAAATAAAAAAAGAAAATGTCAAACAAACATTAGCACTAGTGTTGAGAATTTAATATTATTAGTGACTTCTGACTCAATCACGTGACAGAGTTTTTTCTTTAATATATAATTTGTGTGAGAGTGTTTAATAATATTGTTATGTAACTAAACTTCACTTATTTGAGTTTTTAATTTTAGTTGAGATGTGACTTTATTTGAGAGCTTTTTACTGTAACAAAAAAGTTAAATGTGATCGTTTCTGAGAGCTTTTTACTATAGTAAAACTCGAATTATAAACTCGAATCGGTGAAATGAACGGGGCCTAAATATTATTAGAGACAAAACACTAGGAAAAATTATAAAATTGAAAAATGAAATTACTTGTTAAGGTGGTTGGAAAATCAAATAGCTTGTATTGAATAATGTATATTATAATTTAACTTCTCCTTAATAATTTTTTTTTTTTTCAAAAAAATGCATTTACTTAATTGATGAAATTTTGAATAGAACAAGAGGAAAAATTATACGACGCTCCCAAACTTTTGTTAATATTACACTAGCACCCCTTTTGACCAAGATTAATTAGAGTGTCAATGACAATAGTGAGAGGAAAACAAAATGAAGATAAAAAGGTTCTTTGCTTGATGCCGCTCAAAGACGTAACTATTTAGAGGAATTGAATTCATTTTAAGTTATTGGCTTTGTCTTTATTTATAGTTGCAAGGGTACTTTTGTATTTAAAAAATTTAACGGGAAAATTTTAAATTAAGGATGGCAATTCGTGTCACGTGTCGTATTCGTGTGTCGTATTTTGATCTTTCTTTCTAAATTTGCAGTCAACCCGTGACACGAATTTTTTAAAAATCGCAACACGAATACAACACGACCACTTTACGGGTTGACACGACACTACACAAAAATGACCCGTGACACGAAATTGACCCGCGAACTCGAAATTGACACGAAAATTGTATACTTTTATTTAATTTTTTACATATTAGAAATAACTTAAAATTCATAACACACTAAAAAACAATAACATCCATTGAAATTAAGCAAATAATAGTATAAGATTTTGAGTATAATTATCATGATATCACAAGTTCATAATAAAATCAAAAATATGTAATGAAAAATATATGTATTTTTTAGTTTTTTACGAGTTTCGTGTCGTGTTCGAATTTGACGGGTCCAACCCGAAATTGACCCGTGTTTTTCGTGTCAATTTCAGGTCGACTCAATTCAGACCCGAACCTCTTTTTTCTCAACCCTAACTAGCGAAATTCGTGTTGTTTTCAAATCGTGTTATCGTGTCGTGACCCATATTGCCGGCCCTATTTCAAACACAGTTACTATTGACTAACAAATGGGATAATACTATAGAATTTTTCAAGTCCAATGTATAATTTAGTTTCAATGAAATATTGACAAAGTGAATAGGATGTCAGTTTCATGCTCTTTCATACAAATAAACCCTAATTCGATAACTCTCTTAAACAAAACGCCATTAATTGGTGTTGGAAACAAACCATTCCTAGCCGCAACACCGCTGGTTCTAGCCAAATTTGGCTATCGCGAGTACTCTCTCCTCGCAAGGGCGATGCTCACAACCTTAGAATGGTCGCAGCCTCGTGTTTGCTCACAAATGACTCTCACAAACTTGATTGCACCCTTGCCTCTCAAAGCGACGGCCTACCACACTGGAGAAATCAAAATCTCACTATCAAAGGTCACGGCCTTGCATTGGACCTCACTTTTCTAAGCGAATGTCTATAAAATTTCAAATGAGAGTTCGATATCTCCCGTGTGTTACGGCGTGACCTTGCCTGACTTGATCAGCAGGATGCCAGCAAATCTTGGCTCCAATAGTAGTATAGAGAAAAAGAGGAGATATATAGGAAAATGAGCGAAGGAAACCAACGATATTTTTGTCTTTCTACTAGTCCAAGTGACAGAACGAATTAGTCATTTAAAAGAAAATATTAACTATATACTAAAAGTGACCATCACGTAATTTAAAAAAAAAAAAAAAAAAAAGGTCAGTTCTAGGAAATTTCTAATTTATCCATGTTTTTTTCTCAAAATTTGTAAGAGTCGCAGCCTAAAAACTAGAATGTAAACAAGATTTACGTACGTACCCTAGACTACATGTTATAGTCAAAGCCCTAAAAGATATAGTTGTAGACGGTTGGAGCTTGCAACTAACTGTGTGTGAGCTTTTATGCCCACCCCATAACTCTATATGGATTATAATGCTCCATAATTTTTCTCTCCCTCTGTGTAATGGTCCATTAATCTCAGTTGGTAGATACCAAAGACACTCAATCCAAAGTATGTGAAAATCGGATTCAAATCATTATATCAGTGTCAAAAATAGTGTCTAACTAATAGTATCATATGTCATATCATTTAAAAAACTTAAAATGTTCTTTGATTGACTTTTTCATAACTCGTATTAAATGATATGACAAGATGTGATTAAGTTAAACACCATTTAAAACACCAGAAATACGATTTAAATCCCCGAGAGCCTTGCTAATTTTTGAACTAAACCAATATGAGAGTATACTACATAACTTTGAGTCAAAAGATGCACATGTACAAACTAGACTGTATTAAATACAATTCACAATAAAATGGTCTCTAGCCAATAGCATCATATGCCATATCATTTAAAAAACTTAAAATGTTCTTTGATTGACTTTTTCATGCCTCACATTAAATGATATGACAAGATGTGATTGGTTAAACATCATTTAAAACACTAGAAATTAGACAGGCGATTTGAATCCGTGAGAGTCTCGTTAATTTTTGAACTAAACCAATATGAAAGTATACTACATAAGTTTGAGTCAAAAGATGCACATGTGCAACTAGACTCTATTAAATACAATCCGCAATAATTAGGTAAAGAACTTTAGTTACGTTTGGAATCATTTCGTTCACAGGTAGGAGTCATAGATGGAAGTATTTTTACTTGAGTATTCACATTGCAGCACATATGTCAACGCCAAGAATGCATAAATTTCCAGGTGCAATCCTCACGTCCAAGAAGCTTACCCAAAAAAAAAAAAAAAAAAAAAAAAAAAAAAAAAAAAAAAACCCCGAACATCTCCTTTGAAATTTTCAAATGATTCTCTGTTCAAGGTCCTTTATTTGACAAATTACTCCGTGTTAAGACTTTAGATTAATTCTTTATTGATTTTATTTAGTTGAATTTATAACTAAATGCTTATAAATTCTTTCATCAATGTGTTTCCCGAACATTACTAAAAAAATAAGGGTAGAGTTCAGTTGATTTGCAAATTTCATCTAATATCTTTTTTAATGCTTGATCGCATAGTTTTATGAAGGAATGAAGTTTTTAATCTAAGCCTTGAAAAACTGGAATGTTTATAAGATTTTTATTTTTTAAAGAAGAAAGATGCTTTTTATTCACCAATGTGAGTATTTTTTTTAGCTTTTTACAAGAACTTTTAGCTTTTAAAAATTACCCAAACATTTTTCAAAAGTTGCTTTTGGCTGTCGAAATACAAAATGCCTAATAAAACAAAATAAACTACGTGAATTAAGTTGAGTATATTTTAAATTCTAGTTATTCACATGTACCATTTTTCTGTTTGAATTAAGCTCAAGAGTTGGCCATTAATAAAGGATCCATGGGATCAAAGAAGTAAATAACATTTCAACAGTAGATAGTTGAAGTAAATAACTGGCTTTAAAATATTTGGAATAAACAGTAGTAAAATAAATTTACTTAGAAAAGAATTTTTTTGTAATAAATAGACATACTATTTTAAAATCATACTACTTATTTAATTTCTTAAACATACATATTTACCATTAATTCGAGGGTAAAATCCAAAAATACCACTGAAAATAGTAAAAAAAATATTATTTATACCACTCTATATAAAATAAATAATTTTTATTCAATTAATAAAAAAATAAAATATCACATCTAATTATTTATAATAACACTAAGAAGACGTTTAGTTCATATATTAGAATTATGTGATTATTACCATTTTTAATTTACGTGTATTTTTTGTGAGAGAAAACACTATAATAAACTATAAATTATGATTCAATTATGATTCATAATTCGCTATAGTATTTTTTATTATAAAAAAATATACGTAAATTAAAAATATTCTAAGGACCCAAGTTGGCTTACCGGGCTTTTCAACACATACTCACCTTAACGGGCTTTTCATTCTCAACTAAAACAGACCCAAGTTGGTTCTTCGTTCTTCTACTGGACCGTTCTAGCCCAACATATTCGCCTCCCAAGCTGCCTGAAACTGATCGTCTTCTCCACCCCCAATAAAAAAAAAAAATCCTCTTTTACAGCAAGCCAGCCAAGAAAAAACCTTTGCTGATCAAAACCTCAAAATTTAAAATGTTTGGTCGCAACAGATTCCTCTCGTTTCCTACCGTAATTGGAGCAGTCTTGTAAGTTTCCCTTTGTTTGGATTCAAATTTCAACTCTATTTTTAGCCGATGATTTTTCATCTGGAGTGAAGTAATTGTAGATTGCACTTTATAATTCAGTTTATTTATTAGCTCTAATCGTGGTTTGGTTCACTTCTCTCAATTTGGTTTGCTCAAGTATATAGTAATGGCAATCGTCTTTTCTCTCTCTCTCTTTTTTATTTTATTTTTTTTTGGGAATGAAAGGAGAATTTCAAATTAGGTGTTTGCTGTTATTGAGAAATCTGTTGTATTATGGTATATGGTTGCATAGATATTACTACGAGATAGTCTAGAGGCTTGAGATCCATCAATGGCGATCAAGATGTGTTTTTAAGTGTTTTGATTTTGATCTTATACATACAGGGTTTGTCTTCCATCTTTTGAGAAGTGCAAGTTCTATACTGTTAAAAAAACAAGTTACTCAAATATTTACCCATTGATGTATGTTGTTATTTTAACTGTAATATATTAATTGATGATGTAATAAATTAGAGAGTTGATAAAAAAAATAATGACAATTAATGAAATTGGATTCTTACATATGTATGTCATTATTTTTTTATATTTAATCGTAATTATTCAAAACAAGTCCATGTATATATGTATGTAATCGTTAATTTATATTTTATCACCTAAATTAGAATTTAGAGCATGTTTGGTGGGAGGGAAAATTGGAAGGAGGGTAGGAGTGAGAATAAAGTGGAAGAATTTTGCGAGTTATGGTTTGGTTTTTCGATGGGGCGAAAAATGAGTGAATAGATTGAGTGAGGGATAAGAGAAAGGTCCTACCCTTTTCGTTTTTCTCATCTAGGTTTTATACCTTTCTTTCATTACTATTTTCTTTCCCATATACCAATTAGACTTGCATGAATGAAAGAGGAGGACCAACATTTGTTGTTATCTTGCTATTGATGTGATGTGAGCAAAAGTTGACGGCATGTAGACGGTTCCAAATGCATCACTTGTTTGAAAGACTGTTTGATTCAGATGCAAGTGATGAAGGTTAATGAAGCCTGAAATCGAGTTATTTGTTAATGATGGTATTAGTGCAAAGATTACTCCCACGACTCTTTCGATGTTTTCGACTTAGGTTAAGATTAATGTAGCCAACCTTAATCTCTGAGTTTCCAATGTACAAAAGAAGCAAAAGCCAACTTTTCGTTAGTTTGACAGAGAGGTTTTTGAGGTCATATACAGTTTTGCAAACAGTTTTTAACCATGCAATGTAAGGATAAGACGGTCTGAAGGTCTTCATATATTGTTAGTGCCAGTCAGTAACTTCTCTTTCAAGTCTTTAAATCATCTTTGATAGTTATAATTGAATTTGCTTGTATATGAAATGTATGGGCTTTGCAGGATCGGGGTCGTCTCAGGGAAGGCAATATTTGGACCCCCACTTGAAGAGTACTGGAGAAAGAAGCTCGAGGAGGAGGCAACTGCAAAGGAAAATGGTGGAACGTCAACTTAAAGCAGATATGAATGAATTTCTTCAACTTTGGCCATTTCATAGAAGGCGCATAGTCGCGGAAGTCATTGATTCATTTCATTTATTTTCTTTTTGAACCAAAGACAACAACCAATGCATTTTATGGTGTCCACAATCACTCATGTTAACCCCATACTTAAGGCAACTCATACGGTGGACCCCTCATAAGCTTCCACCGGTGAAACACTCAGTTTGAACTGTTGGATTAAATTTTAAACGGTTAGATTAGTGCAGGTCCGTATTAAAAATTTACAGTACGCTATATAGAGTTGCTCCCTTTGTAAATCTGACTGTTAAAAAAGTAATCCAACAGGGGCTCCACCGGCAGAAATTTTTTTGGGGTTCTACAGTGGAAGTTCCCCTCACTTAAAATGAAAATAATGATGATAACCCGTAATATCTGTGTTTTTCACAATTTTGCTTTTAAAGTTAGAACTTAGAATAGTTTCGAATAATTGTATTTTCCTACAGTTATTCCTACTAATTCTTAAAACTTGTGGTACAACCATGAAACTGCAAGGCCTATGGAAGAAGGAAAACAATACCGTGAAGAAAAGTCATAAGTGCAAAGCGCTTTTTTTTTTTTCGCTAATTAAGTGCAAAGTGCTTTGATAGTCGTGAACATCGAGAAACCATCCAAAATGCCTGACGTCTTGAGAATAATCTATAATATGGCATGATCTTTATGGATTAGGATTGAGAAATAGAGTTGACGGCAGGATAACTTCCTCTGTCTGATTCTGTTGCTCCTTTCCTCATGGTGATAGTTTCAGTATAACTTTCCATGATTCCATGTGACTTGCCTTTGCTAACAACGTAAGCTATTTTGGGAGCAGAAAATAAGTGGGGCTTTTTTCGAGGAAATAACACGTGCAAAACAAGTCAAAACATTTTAAGAACTTTATTGAGTTTTAAGTTCTTATATATATATATTACAAATTGTACTTTTTTCAATAATTTTCTCTTTATATGTGTATGTATATAAACCACTTCATATGTTTTTTTATGTGCGACAACACACATTGTATTTTTTTCAACAATCTTCTCTTTATGTGTGTTCATCGATTGTTGAAAAGTCATCACGTGCGAAACTGGCTTAACACAATTTAAGAGTCTAACTTGACTTAAAAGGTTAACCTATTAGGTTTGGGTCATATAAACAACTTCACATTCTCATACACTTTTCATATGAGACAATACATACAGTATACTTTTGTCAACAATCTCCCTCTTATGTGTGTGTTCATTGTGCTCCCCCTCAAATCAAAGTTTTTAGTAGCCGGCACATCCAGGTATCACACTATAAACAGGAGCCAACTCCAGCATGGGAAAGAGAGCCGAAACCATGTGAGTTCACCAATAATCCACCATATGCACCTGCAACAACACCAAGTGTTGGAATACCAACTCTCCACGAGAGGCAACGTGAGAACTACAACCGAGTGTGATCGCTTGGTCCGTACGAATCATCGACTATGATACCATTTGTTGGGGAGACACCATATACGAAACTAGCCCAACACACTTCAGGAGCCTAACTTAACTTAAAAAGTTAACTTATTAGGTATTGGATTCTTCCATGTATATAAATTACTTCACATTCTCATCCACTTTTCATGTGAAACAACACACACATGCACTTTTCTTAACACCAAACCCAGTAATTGTTTCACCTTTTCCTATGATGGCGTTTTATTAAATACATTAACGCCATTATGTTTGGTAGTAAAGAAAGGAGTGAAGTCACTGAAAAATAGACTATTAGTAGTTTTTTATTTTTCCGCCGTCATATCTATATTAAAATCTGTTTGTTATGTGTATTTTTTTAATTTGATGTGATTTTGATTAGATCTAATAGTTAAAAATTATAGCTATTAGCAGAGCGGCTTACCGAAAAAACTCTCAAAAAAGAAAACAAGATAGAGAAACAAGAAAGAAAATAAAATTATCTTTTGTTGTTTTAGTATCACATGTGAAGATATGGGAAAGAAAGAAATTGTACTATTTGTGAATTACCTTTTTCTTTTCGAAAATGCAGGAGGACAAATGTAACATGTACTTTCATTAGTTCTACTTCTTCTTCTTGTTTTTTTTTATTTATTTATTTTTTAATTTTTCTAGTAGTCCTTGCAGGATTACTGTGTTTTTTGCTTTTTAACTGTCAGTTTTGTGTTAAGATTTATCTCTTTTACATTTTTTGTTAATATAATGTGATTTTTACTAAATCAACAGCTAAAAACTGACACTACCGGACTATCAAAGAATTTTTTTTTTTTTTTTTAAGTTTTCTCCTCTGTTTTCTCTACAATTTTGGAAGAGATTTAAATAGTGTGGATTGCACAAGATATTCTCTCTCCTATTTTCTTTTCTTTCCAAAAATCACTTCAACCAAACGACAGTTTATCAATTTCCACTCTAAATCCCTCCACCTTCCTTGCCTCCGGTTCGGTTCTCTGCAAGTCCTCATGTATCTTTCAGGACTGCAATACAAATTCACGGCCAGAAAGCATTCCAATGCTTTCTCTTGTGATAATATATGAGTCACACACACTTATGCCACATCATCGCTGTTAGAGCTGTGAAACATGATTAGGCAGAAATAGATGCATGATGGCATAAACAAATAAGGTCGTCTTTTAACAAAATTCCTACTCTTCAACTTTTATTTTATTAATTATGAATCTGGCTGTAAGACTAATAATATTCACACCATTGTCAAAGAAATCTCCATAAGGATTAAAGACTAAAAAACATTTGATGTCATGGATGTTACCCAATATAGGCCTAAATTTCATTGAAAAGAACATAAAAAGCTTTCAATTTCTTGAGGTGAACAGAGATATACAGACAAGGTAATTTATAAATGGATAAAGCAAGCAGTTTACATCAAAGAATATTGAGCCTACACTATATTGAATTACAAAGAAACTTGTATGCTTAGCATGTCAAGCTGGCATCAACAACCAAGTACTACTCGTTACGTGCAAACACAAAGACAGACATATAGTTGCTATAACAGAGGACTTAGCAGCAACATATCTCATAATATTAAGACCCCTCTCAACAACAGCCTCATGAACAGTGTTGACACAGCTCTTCACACCATCATACAGTTTCTCCAACAAGAACTCGAGGAACGATCTCACCGTCTCGAATGTGACCTTCCCCGTGACATCAAGAACAAGCCTCCTATTGCTTGGTACTGCCAAAGTAGAGGAAACCTTGCTCACCCACCCACCGCTACCATTATTATCATCCTTCTCATCGCTTTCGCTCATTGGTGTTTCTTGATTCAACTCCTCCACTACTTTGGCCTGAGTTCTCGCGCTTTCATCGATGATAGCAAAATGAGAAGCCGAGTTCGTCTTGAAAAGGTTCTCCTTGGAAGTTGGACGCGTTAAGACCTGATGAGATGTTCTCACAAGAGTCTCAACAGCTCCATTGCAGACGGATACCAACATGTCTCTCACTTTCGTTTCATGTTTCGGGTTGGTCAACCCGGAGAAGAGCTCATCATAAGTATTGACTTCCATGGTCTTGTCAAGATAAACAGCAACAGCCGTGCTCACAAAAACCTGGATACAATCACCAATTAGGTCTCTGCACTTATCACTGAAAACCACATTCATCCACTCTGGAACAGGATTCTTCTCCGAACCAAAACGGTCCATATTCGAAGAAGTCTTCGAATTTGGCTCTCCACAAGTTTCACTTTGGCCAGCTGAAAAGAAACCCAGCACCAAGTTCCTAGCAAAGCTTCCGACAACAACAGAAGCAAAGCCAGAACCGGCACTTGAAAAGACCTTATCCATAATCCTTTCCGCAAAGCTCGAATTTACTACCGAAGATTCATCTTTTCCCTCACTATTGCTCTGTGATTGATAACCCCTTAAAATTCCAACAGTCAGAGACTGAGTAAGCCTAATCAAAGAGCTTGAGAACTCATCAGACCTCGCGATTTTCGATAGTTGCCAAAGACTATTTGGAAGTTGATCAGAATCAGATTGAAGAAACTCCTTCAAGTCTCTGGAGACAATTCCAATTGTCTCAGCAGAGTCTGAAACAGCTTCAGCAACAGAAACAATAGCTCCCAAAAGCTTCAAAATTCTCCTCCTTTTTCTAGCCACCGAAGGCAAGTGATAAACCCTATAAGCACCATAACCAGTGACCCCCAAAGCGGCAAGTAGAACAACCCACTTCTTCCTTTTACGGGCAAAATCAATACCCTTTTTCACCAATTGCAATTCCATCAATCGAATTTCCCAAAAAAACTCGAAAAAATCAAAGACCCAATTAAGATAACAGCGAAACGGACGAAACCCAGATTCTTAAATCGTCTAATTTTCTCAATAAAGACAAAGGGAATTGAAACCGACCCAGTCGTGTACTGCGGTTTTGGAAAAGAAACATGTGACTAATTGGAACTCGCAAAGCACAAAAAGTTAAGAAAAAGCAAAAGAAAAAGAAAAGGGAGAGAGAAAAAAGGAAGAACCTGTGACGTAAAAGCCGTTGCAGGAAAGCCTGTGCGTGCACTCCTTATAGTTCGAGAGAAGAATATGAAGAAGAAGAAGAAGAAAAACAAACTGTTTTTGCGTTCACTAAATGAAGCAAATGAGAATTTACTTCTCGTACAACAACCACCACTGGTCTTTATTTAATGCAATTTCACCAATTTTTTTGGAGAAACTTACTGGGGTTTGTTTTGTTCATTTGCTGTGCGATTGATATGACTACGAGCGATGAATACAGGCCATGTGATTGGATGCAGTTGGTGAAAGAGACGGACAGAACTTAAAAACAAGTCTTTTTTTTTTTTTTTTTTTTGCTGTTTTTGGTGAAAAAATTATAAAGGGACAATGGAATAGTAGAGGGACAAGACAATAGGAGAGGATAGAGAGAGGGATGGGGATGGGAGTCGTTTGTTGGTTGTTGGAGTCTGCATAAATATGTGCATAGCAATTGTACGGCTGTGTTAATAAGCTGTTAAAGAATTAGTTGGATTTTGTTGAAATATCTTTTGTGGATTAAGCTTTGGATTTGATTAATTTGTTTCTGTTTTGGAATTGAATAATTGATTCGGAGAGAAAGGAGTCCAATCTCGACCATTCAACCGCATTTACCCATCCCATTAAAAGTACGTTTTGTTTATTTAGAGCTTTTTATGATACAGAGTTTAGGTTCCGTTGATTTCAGAGTTTAAAATTTTAATTTTGTTATAATAAATTTTTTTTAAAAATAATTGTACCTAATTTTTTTAAATTCGTGTACCATACAACACATACATGCTATTTCAACAGTTTTGGATACCAAATAGCCGGTTTTTATATTAAAAAAAAAGATAAATTGGATTAAAAAAATTAATAGATAAACTGATACGTGTAACTTTTTAAAGTAATACGGATATTATCCCCTTATAAATACGGTAGTTGTGATAAATATTAGATCTTTAAATTCGTACATTATGCACAGCCTTTTAAATTGGAGGAAATAATGTCATTCGTCAACTTCCAAGTGTTGTTTTTATTATATTTTTAGCGATGAAAGTTGTTAATATTGGTTTTTAGTGTTGGCTCACGAGAGAGCCTAGATGATATTAGGAAACAGTGCTAGCTCATTTTTAAATGTCAAACTATAACAAAATTTACCTACATGTGTAACTCAATTGTTATTTATTTGTCAATGTCGATCGATTTCAATTTACTCACAAAGATGTTTCAACACATTACGTAACTAATTAGTTCACATGGTCTATAAATCTATTTTAAGTTTAAACCATAGGGATTTTAGCAAAATAACAAATTCATATTTGTTTTTAATTAATGTGAAAATGTAGAATTAAAATCGTTCACTTTAATTTCTGAAAAAATAGAAAATCAGAAATGGAAAATTTTGTGCTTAGTCTATGTTATAATACATATACAAACACACACATACACGTGTGTGTGTGTGTGTTTGTATATGTATTATAACATATACAAACACACACATACACGTGTGTGTGTGTGTGTGTGTGTGTGTATACATGTGTGTGTGTGTATATTATTACATTCCCGACATCATAGAAGTTTCGCTTTCAAATTCGACCATGTGAAATAGGGACCGATTTATAAACTTTGTCCCCCAAATTTAGTGATATTTTAACTTTTCGACACAAGTGAGGAAAGAGAGATTAAACATGTTTCCAAGTAGGACGGATGAAAAAGCGATCGAAATTCAGAAAATATGTATATATGATAATTTTTTCCAAGTTTCCAAATTTTTTTTTATGCACACCACATATTGCCACGTTGTCATCCACCTCAGATGGGCCACACTTCTCAATGAAAGCCATTTGGACGGCCCACATGCAAAGTAGGCCCCCATTGGACAGGAAGCGAGGGCTTCGACTCCAAGGGAAAAAGTCTTCAAAAGTGACTTCCAAAACGACAACATCAAAATCAAAACAACTCCCTAAAACCTCTCAGAAACAAATGGGCACATCCCAGCCACACATTTCTGACCTCTCCTCCACCACGTGTTGGTTTTCCTCACACCGGCCCGCCGCAGCTTCTACAGCCAATTTCTCATCTCCGGATCATTCGCCACGTGGAATCCCACATCGTACGTGGCAATCCGCTGAAGAAATTAGCCTCAAAGTCACACTCCTCCTAGTCCTACGAAACACGAAAAAAATCCTTAATTCACACTAAGCCAACACGTGCTTAATCTTGACAAATTTCGCGGGCCGAATGCTAAAACATCTTCTTTCAATCGTCCCCAGGTGGATCTTCTTTTTTTTTTTTTTTTTAATTGAAATACAAAATTACCACCTAAAAAGATGATACTTTTCTCATTTATACCGTCCAATAATATAAATTTAACACATATATCGCTTACTTCATCAGAAAATATGCTCCAAATATACTTTGGGTGGTTTTTTTATATTTTTGAGTTAAAGTGATTTGAGTGATAATTTTGAGTTGAGTTTGAGCTATAATTTGAGTTAAAATTGTAACTTGAGTTTGTGTTTAGATGTGCACATTTGAGTTATGATTTGAATTGAGATCTTTTTGAGTTTGTGTTTAGGTGAGTCAAAATTTAAATTTGTATTTAAATAGTATTTTAATAAAAACTCCATGGTGATGAAAAATTTTAATATAGTATATGTGTAGGGTTTTATTCGTCTTTTCGTTGTGAATACATAGAAAAAAATCATCTCAATCAGAATTAAAACGAAAAAGTGATATCTTTTTTAAGAATAGAAAAAATATTATTCATTAATTTGAGTTCGAGTTTCTGAACTCGAGTTGCAAGGAAAACTTGAACTCGAATTTAGCATCAAACTCGAATTCAAACTCAAATTTTATAAAAAAAAAACATGAACTTAAATAAAATTATAACTCGAATTTAATTTTTTTTTTTGAGTTTTATTCTAAAAGAACAACCCCTTTAGATTATTATTAGTTGAATATTTTTAGAGAGTATTCTAGTAGGACATTCTCAATATTCTATCAAAATATTTTTTTAATCAATAAAGATGGTATAAATATGAATGAAACTGTTAGTTTAGTGGCATATTACGTAACTTTCTCTTTACTGAGTTGTTTTTTTTTTTTTTTTGGGTAATTGGGTTTTCGGGTTTTGGGTTTTGGGTTGAACTAGTTGTGTCATGTTTCTGTTATGTAATTTGACTCCACCTATGTTTGGGATTCCCCTTCTGTTTCGGACTAGGATTCTCAAGGCTATACGTATACCTTGCGCTCTTTTTTCCCATATCAAAACGTTTTAAACGTAGAAAGAGAATCGGAAGACTACTGTTTTGTTATATATAATATATATATATATATATATATATATTTATATAGCCTAGCTTTCTTCTTCTTGTTTCTGCACACACCTCTCTGTCTCTCACACACAAGCTTCTTGTTGCCTTCTTCCCTCTTATACGCCTTTTCTCATATATTTTGACTACTCTGAATTGCTCTTTACGGGTACAACAAAAGTATCTCTAGAGGTAAATATTTTTTCCCTCTCTCTTTAACACTTTTGGATCCATATTTGATTGTTGATTCTATTGATACTTGATCATAACGATATTGTTTTTAAATTTCAAACTATTCATTTGATAGTCTGCAAATTCTCATGATTTTATCAAACCACATATTGGTTTGAAATTGTTTTTCCTTCCTTTCTTCGTACGAATATTACTGATATTCCACGCATCTATATATCTTTTCTCATCTATATCCTTGAAAAGAGGAAGACTTTTCTTTCTTTCCTTTTTTTTTTCTTCTTTCCAGAATACTTATCTGAAATTGTAGAATCTTTTTGAGGTCAAAGGCTTCGTATATTTTCGCACTTTAATTAGGTTTTCCTAGACAAATGATAAGTAAAACGACAAGCACAATATAAAAAGATTAAGGTGCTGAATTTAGGTTTTCCTCTCATGTAGTTTAATCACGCCTTAATCTTCATATATATATAAATATATATAGTTCTATATATAAATATATATACATATATATATATAGATATTTACTTAAGAAACAAGATTATGTATAGACGCCGCACTATTATCCCTTTCATAAGCTATATAATTTGTTTACGCGTTTTCTTTATTCAATAATTCCCATGCGTTTGAGTTTTCTCATGAAAAAACTTTATATATCTTTGTCCAGCGATATGTGTTGGCCACCTCATAAACAAGAGAATTCAGTTAAGGATATCTAAGGAAAGCTATGGAGATCATTTACCAGCCTCATATTGATCATGAATTGCAATATCTCATTGAAAGAATTTATCCTCCCAGGTATATGAATCTTGCTGGTGATTGCCAATGCTATTTTTAACCAAATTAACGTCTTTTCTTCCTTTCTTTTGTTTTTCCTTTTCCTTTTCTTGAAAAAAAAAAAAAAAAGAATCAATGGTTTTGATGTTGCAGGGTTTGTGTAGACAATGATACGTGTGAAAATTGTACTCTTATAAAGGTTAGATCATTTGTTGTGATTTTCTCAAGTTTTTGGAATCATTTGTTATGATTGTTGAATTTTTAGAATTTTTTTTTTTTTTTTCATCCTTGTTTGTACTTGCAAATTTTTTTGGATAGTTTATGGGTTTGTTTGTTTAATAGAAGTGCCAAAGTTAGTGGGTCCTCCATTTTCCAACATTCCACCATAGACTTGAAAACAACTGTGAGAGAAACCATCAACATCCCTAGTACTTGTAGGAGCAAACATATGCATGTGATAGGACTCTATGGGCAAATTAACACTTATTTAATTTTGTATATTGTTAATGAAATTAGGTTTACTTATTTATTTTTCTAATAGATTAGTCTTATTTCTTATACTATTCAACAACGGCTTTAAAAAAAGGCGTTATAGTAGTATATATGTGATAAATAAATCCTTTGTTATTGTATTCAAATATTATATTACACTTCACATACATTTAAAACCGATCCTTCTTTACCAAAGTTTTTCAAATGAAATTATCGTGTTGTGATCCAATTCAAAGTTCACAAAGCCACAACAAACTACTCATATTAAAAAAAATATGGAGAATAAATAATTTTTGATACAGTTAAAAATAGAGTAATTTATTTAATCTGGTATAAAGAAACTCCCTGGGAAAGATAGAGAAATTAGGGGCTATATTCTGACCCACCGTGTGGAGAGCCATTAGAAATTTGCCCGTCGTATTCAAAAAGAGGTGTAGGTCTTTTTCAGTCATCATGACATGTGCCGTTGTGTTTTCTTCTTCTCTTTTTTTCCCCCTTTTATTAACAGTTTTTCAATCCATGCAGCACAGTAATATCGTTACCGAGAAGTGTCGTTTTCTACTTTCC